GGCAGTGAAATTGTTCTGAAACATCGTCCCAGAGATACCTTGTATTTGCAAACAATGTCATTATAATGACCACAGAATTTACGAAATAAGACTTTTGAAATTCCTGTAAGTTCAATTTATTTGTCAGCAACCTGTCTCGGTTTAACAATTTGATCATACGCAGAACAGGCTCTTATTTATTTTAATGAAGGAACAACATGGCAATTCTTGAAAACATTTATTCATTTATTTTATGCATCAGTGAAAAATTTATATTGTATGCCTAAAAATATTCCTAATGGGAGACTAATTTTCTGTATATATGGTAAAAAAAATGATGCTGAGAAATAGTAGTTCAAAAAATTCAAAAACATTCGAATGTTTCCAGTTAAATATTTACAAGAACTTTTCCATCATTCTCAGTTTTTATTTAGGATGGAAAAAGTTAACTTTCTAATGATTCTTTCATATTCATTACGGATCGGGAGGCTCATGTTCTATTCTCGTTCGCCGCCGCGTCAAATTAAGATGTAAACAGGTGGTGACTGTTCCTTCGCCAAGCAACCGACATTAGATGTGAATGTCAGGGATCTTTCGGGTGAGACCTTAAAAACCGAGGTCCCGTGTCTCGGTAGGCGTTGGCACGATATAGAACCCTCACTGCTCAATGGCCCGCAGTGCCCAGTATAGATCTAAATTTGAAGCCCTTCACCGGCAAACCGTGACGTATATGAGTGAAAAATACGAGAACATACAATCAATCAATCAAAACAAATTCATTTTTGATCATTTAAGTACACAACTAATTAAACCTAGGTAACATAATGTGCTTACCTTGAACAACAAGAACGAAACCTAATGCTACAAAAAGATCCATCATTTGAGTTCATCCAAGTAAGAATGGACAGAATAGCTTAAATATCAACGTTTATTTCAGCTGTGTTGATTTTGTGTCTCTAGGAAATACATTATGAACTGTGTCAGAAAGCATTTAACTTGAAACACTTCTTGTATCTAATTAAATGCATCTAAGATATATAATACCCTAGAATTTTAACAATGTCGAAGCACTAATGCGACTCATATTTCATAATAGAGGATGCTTATGCTAAATAAGAAGAAACTCTAACCTTCAAACCGACTTCTCGGTATAAAGTTTCTTTATACAATAAAATAATGTCGACCACAACATATTTAAAATGTATTAAATCCCAAAAGATACAACATCTTGGTATCTGCGCTCCGATGACATACAAATACCATTTACATGAGTATTATGTTAATCATTCTGTAAACTGAAAAGGTCAATTTCCTTAAGTCAAACTCAAAGGAAATAGATACACTTCTTAATGATGTATGTTGTAAATAATAGTTAAAAGAGGGAACCACAAAATTCATAAAATTTTAAACCTTTGTGTTTTGTTTTGTTTTTTGTTTACCTCTTTAAAAATCGCTAAAATTAACGTTCATTGATAGAGTTACTTCCCCTCTTGACGTCATAAGAGACATTCAACCTCAGAAACCGATAATGATATATATAATGCATATACCAAGCCTTTTTCAAGATTTTTGATATTTGACTTACCAAGAAAACGTCTGAACCGGCGCCTTTAAACTTTATTTAAAGAAAGTAAGTAATAATAAAACCGAAATTAAAATTATTCATAGATCGTTTTCTTACAATTTGTAAAACAAAGTTACACAGTTAACTTCTTTTATACTACACATGTAGTTTCTTTATTTCATAGCATTATTGCGAATTCGAGGAATTTATTTTCAAAACCAAACTGGACGAACATAAGCTACAACACTGTGTGTTATACAGTGCGTTAGATCTTGCAGAGACTTTGTTCTGATTTTGTCAGCTTGACGAGGTAACTGCTAGTAATACATACGGATGACTTTCTACACATACGCCTTTCAGAGTTATATAGCATACAGTGGAATCATTTATAACTCACCATAACTTAACGATAAATTTTAAATGCATTCTTATTTGTGACTTAAAACTTACAGCACAATATTTTTTTTATCATTTAGAGTTAACTTGAATTCCTATGTAGGAATAAATATATTTATTTAGTGCTTTTCTAATCATAATGCAGTTTTCTTTGTTTTTGCTTAATTGTAAAAAATACTCATTCAGAAAGAAATCAACTTAACACTTGTAAAATAGTACAAACAAGATGTGTTTGTGAAACACTGATGCCCCCGTATGGCAGCTTATGGCGAAGGTTAAAGTTTCTTCAAATGCAAGTCAAAATCCAGGCCAAAAGATAAGAAATGTTGATACCCAAAGAAAGGTCTTGTCTCAAGGAATACACCTATGAAATTTGAAAGACCTAGATACAACTGTTCAGAAGTTATGGCGAAGGTTAAAGTTTTTTGAATAAAAGTCAAACGTCAAGGTCAAGGTCAAAGTGGTTGGTATCCAAAGAAAGATCTTGTCACAAGGATTACATATGTGAAGTATGAAAGCCCTAGCACCAACCATTCAAAAGTTATGGCCAAGGTTAAAGTTTTTCAATAGTAGGTCAAACTCCTAGGTCAAGGTCAAAGGTCAAATAGGTTGGTATCCAAAGGAAGGTCTTGTCACAAGGATTACATATGTGAAGTATGAAAGCCCTAGCATCAACCATTCAAAAGTTATGGCCAAGGTTAAAGTTTTTCAAAAGTAGGTCAAACTCCTAGGTCAAGGTCAAAAGGTCAAAGTGGTGGTTGGTATCCAAAGGAAGGTCTTGTCGCAAGGATTACATATGTGAAGTATGAAAGCCCTAGCTCCAACCATTCAAAAGTTATGGCCAAGGTTAAAGTTTTTCAAAAGTAGGTCAAACTCCTAGGTCAAGGTCAAAGGGTCAAAGTGATTGATATCCAGAGGAAGGTCTTGTCACAAGGAATACACATGTGAAGTTTGAAACCCTAAGCACTAACTGTTCAAAAGTTATGGCCAAGGTTAAAGTTTTTCAAAAGTAGGTCAAACTCCAAGGTCAAGGTCAAAAGGTCAAAGTTGTTGGTATCCAAAGGAAGGCCTTGTCACAAAAAATACACATGTGAAGTTTGAAACCCCAAGCACCAAGTGTTCAGAAGTTATGGCTAAGGTTAAAGTCTCATAAAATTTTGCAAAAGTAGGTCAACTCCAAGGTCAAGGTCAAAAGGTCAAATATGATGGTACCCAAAGAAAGGTCTTGTCACAAGGAATACACATGTGAAATATGAAAGTCATAGCTTCAACCAATCAAAAGTTATGGGCAAGGTTAAAGTTGACAACAGACAGACAGACAAACAGACAAACGGACAAACAGACAAACAGACAAACGGACAAACAGACAAACAGATAAACGGACAAACAGACAGACAGGACAAAAACAATATACCCCCGGGATCTTTCGATCTCCTGCCCTTAGTGATATGCTTAAGTTCAGGGCGTAGTCTCGCCTGATCTGAGGTCGGAGTTTGTGTGAAACGGAGACACATAAACTGAACGCAGTAAATGGAACACAGAGAAAATAATTATTTTTAATAACAACACACATTTAAAAAATAATATAATAAAACACTAATGGTAAATGTAACATTCATTGCATATACACAAGAGCAGTTTTAAGTACGATCGATTTTCAAACCGAAGCATGCTACTGACAGATGAGTTGATGTTACAGGGATTTCAACAATCTCGTTTAAAATCAGCTTTTCGTAATTCTATGGTGGTTAAAATGACCTTATTAGTTTGTTTGTTTGTTGTTTAACGCCCCCTCAAAAATATTTCACTCATATGGAGATGATACCACCTGCCTGGTGGAGGGGCTGAAAATTCAGACCTATACTCGGCACTCAGGGCCATCTTTTTCGTGCCAGAACCTACTGCGACACCGGACCTCGGTTAACAGGTCTTATCCGAAGGACCAGTTTCCACGTCCCGCAGTGGGTTTGAACCCGCTACTCCGCGACTCTAGAGCAAACGCTCTAACCACTGCACTACGCGGGCGACTTGACCTTATTAGCAAATATAATGAAAAAGGTGAAGATAACGAACAGTGATCGATCTCATAAAAAATCTACTCACAATACAAATTTGTGAACAAGGCATAAAACCCGGACTCCCGAATATTTCAGAGGTGGAGTCGGGTGTCTACGTGGAGTAAACATTCCCTGTCCACCTATCTTTGGGTCGTACTTTGACTGACATATTTCGCAGCAATTGTTCTAGGGCTTTGTTTTTAACTTAATTTCACTACGGAATATTTCGTCTACCTGATCAATACATTGTGCTCACGGCGGTTGTGATTGAATAGGGATGCTTACTCCTTCTAGGCACCTGACCCCACCTCTAGGATTTCCGGGGATCGGTGTTTTGTCTTGTTCACAGATTTGTACTGGTTGTGGATTTATTTTTTAAAATCCATCATTGTTATTTATCTTCACCTTTTTCAGATAGATTCGGAAATTTGATTCCAATATGACAGAACCCTCCTTATCTAGGTTTTTTGTTTGTTTTTTTTGTTGTTGTTGTTGTTTAACGTCCCGCTCGAGAATTTTTCACTCATATGGAGACGCCACCACTTGCCGGTGGAGAGCTGCAAATTTTGTCCTATACTCGGCACTTACGGCCACTGAGCAGTGAGGGATCTTTTTCGTGCCAGCACCTACTGCGACACGGGACCTCGGTTTATACGGTCTCATCCGAAGGACCGGTCTCCACGTCCTACAGTGGGATTCGAACCCGCGACGTAAGGATCAACTCCTTACTTCGCGACTCTAGAGCAGACGCTCTAACCACTGCGCCACGCGGGCGACTCCTTATCTAGGTAAAAGGCCAAGGCATTTTAGATGAATGCAAATTATCTATACCTATTTAAAACATTGAAATGGCACACAAACATCCTATGCAGTGTAAACTTAAGTATGAAAGGAATGGATAAGTATCAAAACAATGAACAAAAGTTACCATCCCTCAATAGGGTTTACTTTATATAGTGTCAAATAAAATTTTCTGAAAAAATGAAACAGTTTTTGTTGTTGCCAGCAACTCTATAAATATATTTATACATATTTAGTTACAATACAGTCCTTACAACTTCATCATAATAAACATCATAAAAATGCTTATTCAAAAAAGAAATGGTTAAACTTTAGTAAGGACCAGAATCCTTTTCAGAGATACAAACAAGTACAATATTTGTATATAAGCATTGTGAAGGTGATCGGAGTCTGGTCTTACTCATCTTAAATATACATTCTTAGGCTAAAAAGAAGTGAAAACACCTTCAGGCACATTTTATTTGTGTAGTGACGAGTATTATTCAAAGTCATATAGAACGTTGTTAACTTTCTCCGGTTCTTCTTTTTAATCGGTTGTTCTGTTTTAGTAGAACACGCCATTTATTGGCACCGTAAAAATCACTCTGAATTTTCCTTAAGGGTCCAGACCAACTGTCTTGCTAAGCATCATATTCTGAAATGAAATATTTTTCTAAAATTGTAGAATCTATATTAATTAAATCAAAAACAAACTAGCCACAGACTTTGGAAGGAAAGAATGCTGTCCACAATTTTTTTTTCTTTTTCCTGTCTTATATTTTTTTTGTAAATATTTTAAGAGGGTTTTATTATTTTTAATATTAATAACATTCTGTGGAGTAAGTCGCTCTGTTTTAAATAAAACTTGATTATTCTAGACTATACAGATAAAGTCAACAGTTTCCTACCTCCGTCATCCTTTTTTATAAAATGAATTTTATTCTGCAGCGTGCTGTTTCCCTGTAATATATTAAAAATAAAACACATATTGATGTTGAAATGTGTGCAACATAAAGAAAGATCATTATTAACGATTATTTTTTTCTCCTTAAAAACACCACAGTTACTTACTACCGTCAACTGAGTCATCTTAGTCTGCCTCACCCTAACCTCCCTGCTAAGTCTTACTTCCTCGTATCCCTCGGAGTGGGCCTGAGATTGTATAGAAACTGCTCCACCGCCCTACAATAAAGCAAGTCAATAAACATATTCTTTCATGTTCTGATAAATTTACATGGTTGTTATGCAAGTTTCTTACCCATTTAATTTCCTCTTGTCTGCTCTTTTCAGTTAAACCATTACTCGACGAGAACTTTGATTCAAACATTTTGACTTTTTGTTCAGTTTGAGAGTGTTTTTTGGTCTCTGTCTGAGTGAGAATTTTACCTCCTTCAATCTGCATGAAAAAACAATATAGTCATATCACTGTTTGAAGTACACGAGCACTCTCTACAATCCACTTTGTTATATATATCACTGTTTGAAGTACATGAATACTCTCTACAATTCACTTTGCATTACCCTTGTTTCCAGTGAGCTGACGTAGAAATGATTTTCGAAGACTTTATTTTCATTGAATGTCTTTGAATGCGTTTCCTTTGTTTCGATTTGTATGTCATTTTCCGCAACTATGTCAGGATTTTTCTATAATAAGGGAGTTATCAAAAATAAAAGCTTTTAAGGAAACCCATGATCACAATCATAATTCACAGATACAAGCTTGCAAAAAATGTAAGTTAATGATAATATTTTTTAAATAATATAATACTTTAATGAATTTTTCAAAATTTAAAACTTACCTTTGTCATATAAAAGTTATCTAAATTATTTTGTTTTTTAGCTGTGTATTTTTAAAAATGGTTACAAAGTTAAATCTTAAATCTTCTAAGCATTCTGTAAAACTTAGCAAACAAATTTATTCATTAAAAAAATTGGAAAATATTTTATTTAAAGGTTTAATTTAATTCCAGGTATATTGCACTAAAATTGAGGGAACTCCTCTAAAATCTTTTTTTTTTCTTTGTGTATAGTGTGATAACTTACACATTCCGTATAACCAGCAGGAACCAATGCCATTGTCTGTGTGTTTGAAGTGGAATTCTCAGAGGCTGTGGAGGATACCACTCTGTGATCTTTCTCTTTGTAAGCTGACTTGTCTCGTTTTCCTTTCAAGAATGGATACTTTGCCTGTAACGCTTTTCTAATCTACGAAAACATTTTTTACTCCATATTTAATACTGAACAAAAAATTGTACACAGATTCTCTTAACAGTCGATCATGCTACAATTTTACGTACCTTTCTATTTAGCAGCACGTGTGTGATGAATATTAACAGACCCTTAAAAGACAAGAATGTAGTCATGATTAAATATGCTACTTGGTATTTAACATGCTTTAAAATTGTAATATCTGCAAAAGTTTCAACAGTAATGATGGAATAAGGCAAAGAATGAGCTGGATTTGATGTACAAACGTTGAACGTGTGACTTATTTTTAGTCCTACTTTATTCGGTAATAGTTACCTGTATTGAGTTTGCAATGGTAAATATATACTGAAATGCTACAAGATCCTCATTAATGGCGAAGATTCCAAAAATCCACGTGATTCCGAGAACAGGAACAAGAGTACATACACTCCTAAGGGCGTTTCTTTGAAATAAAAGAATGAGACTCATTTAAAACCGTTTCTGTTTTCATACAGATGGGACAGTTTCTTCCAAGAAATTCACGAGACTTATTAAATTTGACCTTACAGAAACTTTGAATAAAAAAAGTCAGGAATTCAAATGTTATAGTGCTAATGAGCTCGCCGAAAATTATGATGACTACCGGTATAATGAAGTACCTGGCCTTTTCCTTAAACTCAGCTTTCTTCATTTTTGTTGTCAAAAACATAACCCGTAACAATGACACAATTATACAAACATTTAGCTGAAATAAAGTTGAAAAGATATCTAATCAGTACAGAAAATAAGGCACGTCCTTCTTTACAAGATCACTTGTGCATAATAGACTTAGATATAAAATTAATACGGAATATAGATCGTTTAAACATACCAGGAATATAAGAATAACAGGGACAATGAAGGCATAGATAGCTCCCGAGGACACTGACAACCAACAGCTGTAAATATCAAAAAGATGGCTTGTGATCTTCTCCAAAAGAATTCATGTAAGGGATTTAGTCTTCATGTTTAAATTTCTGAACATCTTAATTTGCTTGGGTTGTATATAACTAAGAACAGACATATCTCAATATCTCAAGCCGTAACATAACAATATTGTAGAGGGTTGTTTTGTCTAACGTTAGATCTTTGTGAAAATTCAGGGAAAATGCATTGGCTTCAATTTTGTGAGAAAATATTTACAATGCTTCTGCGTGGTACTGTGTGTCCCAACAGCTTCCAAGTGTGATAAGAACGATAACCAATGGAATACCTGGAATATTTATAAGAAAAGTGACAACATAACTGCTGGTCAAAGATGGTTGAAAATCACAAAACAAATTATATCTTACACGTGGCTAGACCAAGAATCCACTTTAGCCTAGATCTTGAGTTAAATTTGTTGGCGATGCCCATTGCATAAAATAACACAGTGACGTTCATGAAAAAGAACATTCCGACTCCAAACATCAGAAAGAAGGTTAGTAGAAGGAAAAAGTGCAGGAAAAGCGTAACTACCACACATGCTGCCTACAAAATAATAAAACAAAGCATTCCCCAACTGGAAAAAGGACACAAGGGTGTAAATTGTAATATCGGAAAAAACAGAATTTGGGTGCAATATCCATTATATGGTTTCGGTTTGGTTTAATAGGAATAGCATGCATATTGGGTTATTAGATGGTTCAATGTTAAATCCTTATAATCAAACATTTCGCTAAATCTATTTCTACATTAATATAAACATGTTTTTTTATCTCTCATGATTCCATAAATGGAAGTACCTCATTTTGAGCATTATCAACTCCTGCAAGCAGTATCAGGTATGCAAGGAAGAGAGAGACACACAAACATATTATAAGAACATTCTGGTCACTTTTTATTTGCCTGAAAAAAAAACCCGATATTTTTTTTAACCTGCGGCACCCCTGAGACCCTTACTCACATACATGCTTACAAAATAAACACTATTCTGCTGTAAATGTTCGATAATCATACATTTGAAAAACAATTCATAGATTTCCAGGAAGTTTGACACTCACATTTGAAGATATTAATGTGCTCTTTGAAATCTTTAACGAACTTAAATTTTCAAAGAGCTTTTCCCTCCTGCTGGCATTACTGAATTTCAAACTCCCTCATATATAATAAGCAAAAATTAAACGTCTACATTTATAACTCAATTATCATTTTAACCTTTCAAAAAAAAGATTAACTGTATGACAGGTAAGAACTTAAACATACAACATTAATGATTAATTCTTTGAATTAAGTTTATTTTCATTTTCTGACTTAATTAAATGTAGTTTATATGCTATCTTACTTCCAGAGAATAGCGTATACAGTTATCGTCAGTACACCAAACAACATGGATATAACACAACCAACAATGGATATTATGACAAGGACAGAATCTTCTTTTTCCTGAAATTATGTAAGAATTTTTGTACAAGTTGGCAATTTAAGGGGAAAAAGAAATGCATATATGTCGGAGTTATATGTAAAATGCAGCTTCTAGAACGGTACTTAAGTGAGAAGATTTATTCGTTTATTCAGCACTTTGTTACGAGGTGTTGTAACTTTACTATTCCACCATCCATTTGTATGGCTACAGTTTATAACTATTGGAACATATACAAAAGTTAATAGCAGTGTATTTAATTTACCGGTGTATAAGGTCTCATCAGAACAGCGAAGTTTGTAGTGTGGTTACACAGACAGACCGTCACACCATTCTCTGTGGAATTCATAAAACACCCTTCTGTTGACCATCCTCCGGCATTGTCACTATAAATAATACTTATTATCAAGACAACAAAGTATTTAACGTTTGACAAGTGTTCTCTGTGTCAGTCTAAGAAATCATAGACGTATAGAAGAGGTTATACTGACGTACAATAAGGTGTAATCCCAGTATACACAATCGGCTTCTCCTTCCACTACTCTTACCTACAAAATTGAAAATTCTTACACAGTATAAATTTCCTATTTCCTTGTAAGTAAATTTAAAATGATATTCAATTTAACAAATATTTCGTGAATACGACTTTCCATCAATTACACGTAATTAAATTATCTACAGAATAATCAAAAATGTACTTGTCTTCAATAGAGTTATTGCATAACCCTATATTGCACATTTCTTTGTCTTTTTGTCTGTTCATTTAAAATATATATAACAAAAATTAAATGGATTATTAAATTATACTTCAAATCAAACTGCCGGAACTTTTTTCGAACGTCAGATAAAGGTTCTCACTAAGAATCTTTTACAAAACTTTCAAAATGAAACTGGTAAGCCAGGGCTTTGACTAGCTACTTGCATCAGATAAAAGGAATCTTCCAATTACGACTTCTCATATCACAGATATTTTCATGTAGATATTTGTCTCTAAAATAATAACTAATTAGACCACAAATTATTCCAAAAATAATAGCAACTGTAACATACACCTTAAAAACAAGAAAACATCAACAGTTTTCGAGTAAATCTTCTACAAAGCATGTAGACACTTTCTGCTGTCATTTACATAGGACCAACAATGGGGGGTGGGGGGAGGAGGGGGCTTCTTTTGTGATAAGAGTAACTTACTTCTCTGTTGTGTTGGAATGTCAACTCTATTGGAGGAGAGAGTCCTCTGGATGTTTGCTCCAATGTTAGCGCCAGGACCATAGAGTTGATAACTCGGTCAGTCCCTGAGCTGTTTCAAATGAAGCGCTTTTAATTGTATACTTTTTGTTTTCAAACATTTTTTAATCTTAACCCCACTGCACAATTTTTATACTTAGCTACTTTACAAAAATTAACATAACTCTGTAAATGTTAAGATTGACAAAAGAAATTTCAATGAAAAGTGACAATTCAAAAGTACATAGTAAATGAGTAGTCAGATGTTTAACAGAGACATACCCAGAAATGTTTGTTTTAGATGGTAAAAACTGAGACATCGTTTTGTACAGAACAGCAGAATATTTTGTTACTGAAATTCAAACAACAGTTGAATAAAAATTGATTAATAAAAACATACATTTGTATTATCCTGTATTGTAGAATATACTGATATATTTAAGGAATCACTGTCTACTTAGTAGAGTATGCCAGGGCATCAACGATAGTTGGAAACCCGAAGCTCGTTATGCATAAATTATCCCACGTTTTCAATTTCGATGATGTCCGTGACAAACTCTACTAACTAGACAGTGATTCCTTATAGTTGCATTTAATTGTGAAATAAAATTGAAAATTTAGATTTTAAAAATATAAACTAATAGATTTAAATTACACGAGGCCTTACATGTCAATTTCAATAGTCCCCGCCCACTGACGTCAAACACAGACAGCCGCACGAGAATTACATGCTTATTAGGCCTCCTTAGCTCCTGACCTTTCGCTCGGTGAAATTTACATTCCGGTAGAATGATCAAGAAATCAACTCAACTAACTTTCAAAGAGTTATCACAGAGAAAACAAATAGAAATGGAAATATTCGATGATTAAAAACGATTATCTCAACAAGAATATTTTGATGTACAAAAATTTTTTTCTTTGTATTCATGAAACATGAAGATAAGGAAGATAAGAAATCAAGTTCAAAGTCCATTAAAATAATACAAATTTGGAGCAGAGCAAAAATGGACCTCTAAAATCATCAGAGGTGGGATCGGTACCACGGAGAAGTAAACATCCCTTGTCGAACGGTCACGCCAGCCGTGTGCTCCTTGACATGATCGAGCAAACGGAAAAATCCGTAGACAATTCGGTGTGAAATAAAATATGGAGATAACGAACAGCATTCAAGCTCAAAGTCCATTAAAACAATACAATTCGGGAGCAGAGCAAACAGAGACCTCCAAAAAATTCAGAGGTGGGATCAGGTGCCATGGAGGAGTGAGTATCCCCTGCCGACCGATCACACACGCCGTTTTCTCCTTGTCATGATCGGGAAAAACGGAAAATCCGTAGACAAGGCAGTGTGTTAATAATGGCTTAACGATTTGTATGAAAAACGTCAGTCAACATTCGACTTAGTGATATATTGTATTTGCTGATAATGTCATTGTATCGACAATAGAATTTGCGAAATGTTGACTTTAAACAAGACTGTTAATATTCTTGTTTCATCAATGCAACTTATTTGTCAAAAGCTTGTCTTGTTTAAGAAATTGTTCGAAGTTAGAGCATGCTCTTGCATATCATGTGTAGAAATCTTAATACTTTTCGATGCCTCATTCATTCTATCCCTTGAAAAATTATTCTACCTAAAAATAATGAACATTTATTTTACTCCAAATACGAATATTTTGAAATCTTTAACTCATGTTTTTTTCTATATAAAAGTGGGATCCCCTGTTATACAATCAGAAATCTGCCTCTCATAGGGATAATTGTAAAATATTACAAGATGTAGCAGGTTTGGGAAATATCTCGAGCTTTTTTTCCTTCACATTCCTAAGAACTTTGGATACCATATTTGTTCTAATCCATGCTTCATGTGCCATGATTTAAGCCAGATGAAACATGTGAAATATCCACCAAATTAAGATGCTATTATTTTTATAATATATATCTTTGAAATTTTATACCCTTGTGTTTAATCGAAGAGTAAACTGTTAGTGCAATTTGTACTCTGTTTCATTTAGGGGTAAAACTTTCACAAAATGGACAAGAATTTTCGAGATAAGTTTGCTAAAATTAAAGCGTAAGCTCTGGAGTTGAAGTAAAAAAAAATCAAACTAGACACTTTTTTATCGACAAACACCAAACCTCAACTTCCTATGGTGAGCTATCAAGCTCAAGCAATTATTACTATAATAAAATAATCGCATTAGATAATTAAATAGTATTACCTTGTTTTTGCCCCTCTTGCTTTGGAAGCACGATGAAGGATTCATTCTCCAGAAAGCGTAGCTCTGCTTCTTGTAATGATACCTCACTGATGTTGACTACTGTGTAACAAAGAATAACTCCTCGCATTGAATACAGCAGTTCTCAACGAGTAACAATGAAAATAGATGAATTCTGTAACAAAATTTCTTGTTCGTTTTATACATTATTCATACAAAAACAAACCTAATATTAAATTCATTTAATTAAATGTACACAAAGGCTCCTTGTCAAGTCAAAGTTTACACGTTAAAGGTAAGAAGAATATTTCACGTGTGTAGTATAAATTCTCTTTATTTTCCATTGTTCTGTAGAGAACAAGAAACCAACGCATGCAGGAAAAAGAGTATAAAAACATATTTTTACATTTCCAACTGTTTTATCTGTGATATCTCATTGAAAGTTAGACGATGTGTTGATTTCTCGATATTTACAATTGAATGTAAATTTCGCTTATAAAAAAGGTAAAGAAAACAAAAAGTGATCGATCTCAAAAAAATCTATCATCAATACAAATCTGTGAACAGAGCATAAAGCAAAAATTCCAGAGGTGGGATCAGGTGCCTAGGAAGAGTAAGCATCCCCTGTTGACCGGTCAAACTCGCCGTGAGCCCTATGTATTGATCAGGTAGACGGAACATTCCGAAGTCAAATTTAATATAAAAACAAAGGCCTAACAATTGGTATGAACAAAGTAGCCAAAACACGACCCAATGATAAATTATTTTTGTTAACAAAGTCATTATAACAGTCATAGAAATTATGAAATGCTGACTTGAAATGAGGTTATTGAAATCCCTGTAAGATCAACTCATCTGTCAGTAGCCTGTCTCGGTTTAAAAACTGATCGTACTCATGAGCATGCTCTTGAGTATCGAATAAGTTGGGAGACGTAAACACCATATGCTGCTGGTGATAGCGGAATATTACTACATAAATAAGGAAAAGCTGAAGTCATCTCGTTTGTCATACAATTTAGTTGTTAGTTGGCCAAGTGAGAGGTCAAGTGCCCAATATGCATATCAATCGCAGCTGTCTGTGTGTCTGTTATCAGTTTATTTTTATTTATATTACAATTCTGTTTCACATATAAATGTAAATATAATAAATCACTGTCTAGTTTGTTGGGTATACCAGGGATATCAACGTCAGTTGGAAACGTGGGATAATTTTTGCTCAACGGACGATGTGCTTCGCCCGTTATGCAAATTACACAACGTTTCAAAATATCTTTGATGCCCTGGCATAACACAGCAAACTAAACAGAGATTCCTTAAATATATCGCTTTATAGAGAAATCAGAAATGCCTCACACACCGACATTTTCTCCTCTAAATTCTTCTGATTTCAGCTCCTTCATCAGCAGAGAGTTGGTCCAATCCATTGTCTCCAAAACCGATTCCGGTCCACTGTGTGTCTTAAAAGTATGATGGGCAGTAAGACATTATCATTATAATCATACAATTTGAAATTCCTCACCAGCTAGGTATCGATATATAGAATATGAAATCTTTAAAATATTTATTTAGAATACTTTACAAAATTTAATCTGTAAACAGCAAAGATAAGGTATTTACTTGTCTAACACTTTTTCATATCTTTTTTCAATATTCTCTTGAAACTGAGATGTTGGGGTTGAAAAGCAAACTTATCTGGTAAGGCATAATAAAAACCACTTATAAGAATGATACAATATCTATCTACGGGCATAGAAAAAGAGTCAGTTTAACTCAGTTGAAAGAATGACTGACATAGTTAGAACGTCATGTCCATGCCATTTCCTTGGACTTTCAATATGAAAAGTAAGATTCAATAAAATGGGCAAAATAAGTTCCTATCATTTTGTAGGATTTGAAGAAGCTTAGACATACCTCCTCGTCAACAAGCTTCCAAGATTCTCTATTGTCTGCAGAAGCAACATGGTCCACAATACTGTACACATTCTGTTATTTCAGGAAAAAAGAAATGATTAATTGTGACCGTTCTAGCTCCATTGAATGTTGACATAACATACGTAATTAAATTTTTATTGTCCTGTAGTTTTACATTAGGATTAAAACATGTTTTCTTACTTTTTGAGGAACAGAAGCGTTGCTTTGTGTCGCTACTCTGAGAACTGTGTTTATGATATTAATGGAGGACAGTAGATTTGCTGAGGAGATTTCGGTCTTGGAGGCAGTAAGGTTTTCTGTTTTCTTGAGGGAACTTTCAAAAGTTTGTTCAATATACATTTTATCTAATACTCCGTCATCTTCTAGAACCTGGAGCTGAAAAAAAGGAAAATGGCCCATTTTTTTTTCAATTTTACTCCATTTCAACCCGAGACGACAGTGTCAAGTGGCTAATATTGGTGGAAAGTTTACATAGAATGATATTTGGAACATTTGTTTATTGCATACTGGTAATCAGATACACAGTAAAGATAGATTTAAGGAGGCTGGGGGGTCAACAAATTAACCACCAGATTTAACTTAATTTTTTAGATATGATATCTTAAGCTGTCAACTATCATTTGGCAAAGAAAAATTTCAAAAATTTTAGTTTTAAAATTTGATCATTTTCTATATCTTCATAGGGAGCTAAAAATGGCCACAACCCCCCAGCCTCTTTAAAAGAGGTTTTTTTCTCTTAAGATCTTCAACATTGATAAATATATTGAAGATCAGTTAAAATTTCTAAAAGATTTAACAAATTCTTAAAATTTGGATAAATTCTATTTTTCAGATAGTAGTATAATGTCATTAAAATTCAAAAAGTTCAGGCAAGGGGCATAATAAAAATGGTAGATGGTGATAGTGATGACATATACGTAAATAAATTTATACCTCAATCTCCGGATCTGAGACAATTGTGTTGAGGTCTTTTTTTTTCTTATGGTTTGCACTTTAAAAATTACTAATAATTAAGAGAGAAATAAAAATAAAACCTCATTCAAGGTATTGGAAAACTCTGCATCCACACAGTAAGACACGCTTGTCTTCTTCCAGTTTCCGTTATAATCACAAAATCTGCTGGCATTTCCTACAAAATAACATTATCCGGAAGAATAGACGTAACATCGACACAAATCTTTGAAAGAATATATCTAACATTGAAAGAACTACAGGTCAATTTTGTATTGTCATGATTTGTTACATTGTTTTTGCATGTTTAATTCAGTGTTTAAAGAATTGGCTAAGTATATTGTAGGGTTTCGATCTCTGGTAGTGTTTATATTTTTTGTCGTGTGATTATGCAGTAAAATACTATTTCTAGATAAATTATATATTTTCAATTTCTAATACCAACATATTAATGAAATATCATATCTTTTTTTATACTTAACATCTATCATAGTTCTTCTTGATGTATATATCACCTTCTTAAAATAAAACATGAAATGAAATTTTCCTTGTTGTCTTTTTTTCATTGGCTCTCTGTATACATAGATATCATGCCAGTATTCCTACACGTACCTTGTTGTCCCTCAGGACAATCAGAATGAGTGAGGGATCCGGGAATTACTGTTGGCCATAAAATTCCATAAATATCTTTTGATGAGGGACACACGGTTGCACCTGAAAGTAAATACAATTAAATTAACCAGCACCCAGTCCTTTAATGAGTGACTAGATTTTTTTTTTTAATACGTTTACAAATATCCTCTTTACCTTTGTTATAAATGTCCACTGTTGTGTTTATTACCCTCGATACCCGATATATTTCATGGTTACAGGAATAGGTGCCCTGGTCGTTGGGATCCACGGACAGAATCCGAAGGAGACTGGAGGACCGGCTCGTCGTCATGGTAAGTTTCGCTATTTCTATTTAAAAATTGGTAAAATTGAATGCGTAATGGAAGTGATTAACGAAAGGCTTACAAATAGTCAAATTCTACGAAAGTTTCTCTAAAGAAATTGTAATTACACATAGAAACGTTGTTTGAAAGTACATTTGTTTTCCAGACTCATTTTTTAATAAACAAGATTATTAAAAACAGCATTTGATTTATGGTCATGGAGTAGATCAATGTGATTAATAAATAATATAGATAAGTGCTAAGTGGGGGACGGGGGGGGGGGGGGAGAGAGCAGCAAATCTTTTCATGAGGCACTAAATATTTATCCAATTTATTATGGAATATGCAAAGTTTATAATATACAAATTATAAAATTTTACAATTACAAATTAACCAGTGCCCCGAATTTTACCTTGTATTAATCTAACGCCGTTCTTGTACCAGGTCAATAGAGAAATGTCTATCGGCAGTCCCTCTAGATCTTGTAAATTTGTTATGTTACAAACTAGTTCCAGTGTACTTCCTCTTTGAACAGCCATTCTGTAATGTGGAGAGATTTCTAGATTTATTCCTGGTTTGACTGTAAAGAAAAAAAGGGTTATCATGGATCACTTAAAAAATGTTCAATCTGTTAAAGGTGCTTGGACACAGATTTGAAGTTAATATTTTCTCAAATTTTCTGTATAATTTCATGACTTATATGTTGCTATAGCATTTCATGCTAAAATATAATAAAAATCTTATTTCATCTCGAAGTTATTAAAACTTCGAATTTCTGGACGCGTTGGATTGACACATCCTTGCGCTATCACATATTTTAATTTTATTCTTAATACTTAAGAAAAGTGGCAATTTTGTTGTGTATTAATGAAAAATATTAAAACTATGATCCAGAAAATTCAGAGTAGAAATGTTCGAAAGCAAAATCACTTACTGTATTGTAAGTCCGTGCTCAGTGGTGTGTGCAGAGTTTTAACAATTGAACACACCCGGTGAATCATAAACATTAACAAAAACAGAGCTCGTGCCCTGTTTACAAAAACAGTTTACGTTTCACGGGTGTGTTCAATTTGTTAAACTCTGTACACATCACAGAGCACGGACTGACAATACTGGTGAGTTGGTTTTTGCTTTCGAACATTTCTACTCTGAATTTTCTGGATTATAGATGTAATATTTTTCATTAATACATAACAAAATCGCTTATTTTCTTAAATATTAAGGATAAAGTTAAAAATTGTGTACGTGCAAAGATGTGTTAATCAAACGCTTCCCGGAATTCGTAGTTCTAATAATTTCCAGATAAAATAAGTTTTTATTTATATTTTCGTGTGAAATTCTATTGCAATATATAAGCCGTGATATTATACAGAAAATTTGAGAAAATATTAAGTTCAAATCTGTGTCTAAGCACCTTTAATGCTTCTTTGAAAAGGTAAGACACAAATGTTTTCTATAGCAGCTCATGCCTACCCTTTATATCAAAACTCGCCGTGGCTTCTGAATGTTGATTTGAGACTATCACGGTCCAATTTGCTGGAAAACAATAAAACGTCAAAAACATTTTTCCTAGCATGTATCACATTGAACAGTCTTTGTGGCCATTTTTTGAGAAATTCTTAAATCATAAAACAATTTTAGCTTATAGTATTATGTTCATTTTACAGCATAGATTTGCCTAAATCTATTATGTGTTTAAGATATATTTTTTTATTCAGCAGAAAAAGACGTCAATAAAACATCTAGACATTTTATGACAATGAATAATTCAATTACTACCTTCATCCCGAAGTTTAAGTTCGACGATTGTGAGTGAACACTTCATCACTTCTAAAAGCGTTTGGCGGATTGAGAATCTCCCAGGAGACTGTGTGACGTAGGTTCCGTTTCTAAACCATTTCACTTCAAATCCAAATCTGACGTTGATGTCCACAGACATGGTTAGTATTGTGCCTTCTACTCCAAGTGAGGAAGGAGCCACCTCGCTTTTGGTTACATTAATGATTTCTGTTCCGTTTGACAAAAAAAAGATAAATTGACACAAGAAGGTGTACTAAACGCAGTGAGATGGTATTCGGTCGTGTACAGGTAGAGGGTAAGTGGTCATATTTTTGTTTAAAGAAGGAATATAAGACAGAGAAACAAAGACAATTCGAAGTACCTGACAACTTCATATCACGAAACCTTAATATTACTAATGCGCATTAATTAATAGTTATTTTTTTTTAATTAAGAGTATGATGGATAAAACAATATGGACGTCCTCCCTTCCATAATAATTTTTTTCATGGACTTCACATTTACATTTGTCTTCTTCCGCTAAATATTTATATTGTGGCGTCATTTTTTTTAATTTCAAAAGGATATTTTTATTTTGATTTTATTTAATTGTTGATTTTCTGCTATATACAAAACCCAATCTATTGAATGAAATAAAATTAGAAGAAAATGAAATACTATGTCCAGAGTGTTGAAATATGAAATATTTTAAGACATACAAATAAAATATATATAGTAGGATAGAAATATACAATCGAGTGACAGGACTGTGTGTTAAATCAGTATAGAGTACAGGGTGTTATGATTAAGTTTACCTGGTGTTGTAGGTGGTTTGTCAAATCGCCATACAGAAGAAATATACGTATTATCACGAGACTCACTTCCAAAGGAAAATGAATTTTCAGCTGGAATTAAGGCAGTGACTGTGCTGAACATTGTATTATTCCCAAAGATTTTACCCTTTCCAACTCTTAGATTAGTATTTCTGCCCCATGTAATCCAAAAGTCACTAAATTCGTTGCAGTTTAAAACACTGCCTAGATAAGCATCAGAAATACAGCTGTAAGTATTATTACTATGCATGTCGTGTGTGATGCATGAAATATATCCATCTCCTTTTAATGAACGAGCATTTAACCAAATTCGCATGTATGACCCATTCGTTGCTTTGAACCTTATCATCGCTCTCTCGCACATCTTGACAGAGAAGGTTATGTAGTTGTTTCCTGGGACTGGTAGGTTGTGATCCGACAGTTGCTTAAGAGCAGTTCCTGATGTGTGGCAGATCTCCACGAAATCTTTATACAAAGTTACAATAAATGTCCTTAAGTTACACGTACTTTAAATTGATTCTCTAAAAAGTAGTTCATTTTAAAGAATAACTTTATCAAAATAAAATGTTTAAATTATATATCATTTATAGAATGAAAGTTCCAGGTTAACATTTTTATGTTTTAGTCATGGATATATAAATAATTCATAACAATCATCAGATAAAGTTTTTTTTTTTTTATTTTACTTAAAAGAAGATATCTGAAAATTTACCAGTGATTACCGCAGATCCGTAAAATTTCCACGTTCCAGTTCCATTTATAGTTCGAATTGATAAGAAATCAACTTTCAAGGGATTATAAATTCTGTATTCCATTATGATGTCATCTCCCCGTATTCTTCCGCGACCAATCTTTAAGGTATCCGACCACGACACCCAAAAATCCACAAAAAATCCGCTGTCTAAAGTTTTACTAGTGTATGTTTCAAGACACTTATCTAATAATGCTGTTTTCAAACAAGAATAAGTTCCAACAATCTCAGGAGGGTCTTGATAAAATGTTATTAAGTAGTTTTCTCCGCCTGCCGAGTGCAGTTCTATTTGAATATGCTTTGATGCTTTGACTGAAAAAATCATGAATTGTTCTTCTGGTATTGGAATTCCGTATTCAGACAGGTTCCTTTGAACATCTTTTTGTGTGCATAACTCCATGTTTTTATTGTCTACAATGATTAATTAACTTATCAGAGCTCCCACAAAAAAATGAATGAAAATACTTAAGAAATATTTACAGTTGTCAGCTATTAATTTTACTTCATTAGAAATGTAGTAGAATACCTGTAAAAAAGATCAGTGAGAAGCCGTGGTGTCCAGAGAACGTGCCTGGACTGGTGTAATTCAGGACAATCTTTTCTTCAGGGTAGGCTAAAATCCTAGAATCTTCTAACATAGAGGAACCCGCAAACACTAAAACATCCCAACAGAAAAAGAATGTGTAAATCACAATGTCAATTCGATTTGCTGTTTTACTTGATTTTTTTTTGTTCATGAACCAGAGCTAGGGTTGGGTCAATATAAGTGTTTAAGATTTTTTATAGAAGTTCATAGTAAAATCTTAAAACTTTTGTTCAATGCCATAGCAGTCTAAAGTTGGTGATTTACGATGCATTATCAAGAGGTAAATATTTCAATTTAAGTAGGTTTGTTCGAACATCATCTAAACAAAACTTTAAAAAATAAAATTTAACAAAAGCACTTCTCTATATCTTTTTTCTTGAAAAACTAAGCAACAATATCTTATTTTAAAACACAGGCATCATTAATTATGGGTTTAAATTGAATTGATGTATTTCCCAAAATTAGCCGGTTGAGCTAAAGAGGTTTAGAGCGTCAAAGTCCAGCATTTTCCCAAGAACAGCAACATTTTCAAACATACAAGCATGTACAATAGATTACAATTCCTTAAAGCAGAACCTCCTCTGAATTTTTTTTTTTTTTTGGATCGAACCATATTAAAACGATTTCATTTATCGACACATTTATTTATCATAGAAATATGATTTGTCAGAGATTTCAGTCAATGAGTCATTGTTGTCATGTTTTAGTCCTATGTTGAATGAAAAACAACAATATATAAAGTAATTCTGGTAGAAAACTTGCCGTCATTTTGGATTCTGAGTGCCGCCCCGTCAGTAATGTAGCGATACCTGAACTGTATGTAGATACTGGATCCCTTTACAGGGGATACTAGAGTCCACACACAGGAGGAGGATCTAAAAACAAAGTTATTAAACTGTTTGGGATCAAGATAAAGAAGAGGACTACATTTTTATCTACATCTTGTTTCAGCTTATGCAAGCTACATTGCATTTAAACAGTGATTTAAAACAAGAGGTACACAATGCTTTTCAATGTCACTTTACTTGAAAATGAATATACAGATGAAAGAAATCCTTATTGTGCTCATAAACTTAAAGTCCAATTTTATTTTACAAAATACACCAGTCATGGTATGGACTTACAAACTGTAGAATTTTGTTCTTGAGAACGCTACTAGAGAACCCTTAAAATTGAAACAAGAAATTAAAGCTCTATTGTTTTGTAGAAGATATCAAAAGAATCTTTCCTATAAACTCTAATCTGAAAATTAAACCCTAGCCACTCTAGACCCAGCAGTCATAAATTCAACAAACTTTAATTCATAGTTTTGGGTGCTCTTGCAAGTTAATTTGACTGATTTTTGTCCTGATCATGAAAATCATGCAAGGAATTGTTTTCCTTTAGTCATATCTTTCTATATAAAACCGTGACCCAATATGGTCATATGGTAGTCCAGGTTTCCAATATGTTTAACAACTTAATTTTTATCTACAGAAGGCTGAAATTTTAATTGAAATTTAATAAGTAATTCCGGATAAAAACGTGAAAAACTTGCATACAAAATACAACGCACATCAGAGAATCAAACGGGAGGAAAGACATTTATAAAAAAAAAAAATCTACGCAATCTTTCAGGTGAGTTAAAAACGATTTAGGCCAAATAAAAAAATATGTGTGGTTCCGGTTACCCGACCGTCCCTATTTTATACCCCCGACCCTAAACTTTTTTCCGGCAATTTTAGTATTTTTTCCGGAATTTTCCCAGCTTTCCGTCATCGGCCCGGTATTAGTTTTAGTTTCAGCAATGGCGGCCTCCATGCAAAACATCGTTTCAACACTTAGTGCAAGTGTTCAATTAATGGTGTTAAATCTAAAGCAAGCTAGCATAGCACGGAAGCATTCCTTTTTTCCAACACCATGTTTTTTTGCTTTGTTTTATTTTTGCTTGCCAAAATTAAATAAATATATGTTCAGACAGCTGGCCAGGTAAAATGCCTTTGGGAGTTAGGGAGAAGATAACATGAGAAAACATCATTTGATTGCATTGATTACGCAAGAAATAGCCCAATGTGTAAAATAGATTAACTTGTAAATTTTGAAATAATTTAAATCAGGATCGTTTCTTTTAAACGAAAGTAGAAAAAAAACAACAGTTGATGAGGAAAAGTGAAAAACAAGACAGCTGATTTTACCTGAATAAAGTCAACTCACATAGTACCAATATATATGAGAAGTGAGCTTGGAAGTATAAAGTCTTCAATGAGGCAAAAAGTTTTCATTGTAAGAATTTAAAATTTTAACAATATTAAATATATTTCCTCTGACAGCTCTTAGCAGTACTCTATGCCCGTTTTCTAGTTCATCGTTCAAAATTTATTATTAAATAAAATAAGAATTACTCTGGATAAAAGTCATTAATTTCATTTACATGTATAAACATGGATTTAAAAGAGGGTATTCACCTCGAACTTTTTTTTACAAAAGAAATTAATAAGATTATTAGTGGGTTTATTATTTTTGATTTAAAAATATTTGTTTCATATTCATAACTAGGGTGTCTCTACCAATGTTGACTTGTATATCATCACGCCACGTCTAAACACCACTTACAAAGCAGTGATAGGTATTATTTAGAAAAATTTAGAAAATCATTTTGTAACAAAAAAAAATTAAAAAAAAAAAAAATTAATTCCCTACCTACCTACCCTATTTTTTTTTTTTTTGGAGGTGTAACCGGAACCACACATATTTTTTTGTTTGGCCTTATATATAAAAAAAATAATAAAATGAGAGAGAGAAAAGAGAAAAATGGAATGAATTCTTTTCAGGTGCTTACCTCTGAAGTGGGAATCCTGGGGACGTTATGCTTTGTTCTTGAGATGAAGCAACTAATGGGACTCCTGCTGGATCACAGGCACTTTCTATTGCAAAATTAAATGTTAAATTTAGAAATTTTGATCGCACAACAGCAGAGATTTAAATAGAATGAATTGTTTGTTTGTTTGTTTAACGTCCCTCTCGAGAATTTTTCATTCATATGGAGATGCCACCACTTGCCGGTGGAGAGCTGCATATTTTGACCTATACTCGGCACTTAGGGCCATTGAGCAGTGAGGGATCTTTTTCGTGTCAGCACCTACTGCGACACGGAACCTTGGTTCACACGGTCATCCGAAGGACGGCTAAATAAAATGAATCCTGGCTAAGTTTCTCATACATGATATAATTATCGAAGCTGACCCCATGCCCATTTAATCTTAAATTCGTATTTTTAAAAGAAAATACGTGTATCAAGACTGCAGAATGTTTAAAGTCTTTATTTACCTTTTGTGTTGGTTGCAAACATTCTGAACTGAAATCCTTGTTCGCTACGTGGTCTGGTGAAGTAATTCGTTGTAAATGATAAAATTAATGTTGTGTTAACCACAAAATTCCCAGAACGCACCTGACAGGTTACGTCATCCAGGGAAGATCCTCCTTAAGAAATTTAAACAAAACAGATAATATATATCATACAATCCTCTCTATATATTCGTTCAAATTTACTTTCTTGAAACATACCTTGATATGCCCTTAGATCATCGTTGCAAAACAAGTCAAATTCCATAACGAGCCTATAACCAGTAGGTGGGACTATGTTCCAAAGACAAGTTAGATTTCTACAAGGTATATTGGAGTGAAAACACTCACAGAAACAGAACTTAACATGAAGGTGTTTCGGTAGTAATTTGATTTTACACTCACTTTGCATAGGGAGGATATTTGAATGGCTGATGGGGATCATAAAATGGAGGGAAATTGACACTGGTCAGTTTGTCTGGTTCTAGCTGAACGACATTTGCTCTGCCGTCACAATGTAGCGCATGTGCTGTAAAACAAGATAAATAAATGCTTTCTTTAACTGGAACCTTCTCTCTTTTTAATTCATAATGTTGTTATAAAATCTTTTTTTAAACTTCAAGAGTATAGTTCTTTGTGACATGGGGGATGAGCTCTCTCTCTCTCTCTCTCTCTCTCTCTCTCTCTCTCTCTCTCTCTTAGTTCGATGTTAATAAATATTGCAGTTCTTGAAATTGTATATGTAGGAGAAACATCCTTTTTAAAGTTCAGTACAGTAAGCGCGTTATAGAATGCTATGTACAACTGGTATAGTTTGATACGATTTGTAATTAATCTAAAGGTTTTTCATACTTTAATTATATATATGTATGCATTTATGAACGATATAGTAGTCAGAAATCACACTGATTTGACATTCATCTCAAAAAATAATATTCTACATCAGATTTGAATAATATACCTGGTTTTTCACAAATAAAGGGACGAACGTCTGCACATGCCTGGTCTGACCAGTTAAATTCAACTACTCCAACCATAGCTATGCATCTCGGTGGAGAGACGGGTCTGCCTGTGTATTTAGAGTACGTTGATTATTTCTACTTCAGTTTGAAAGAATTCAAATATGTCGTATGTGATAACTAAGATAATTTCTGTGAGGAGTTACCAGTTGCCCAACGTGTGAAATTGAATTTCCTCCTATAGTTATCCCAGTGCCAGCCATTGTAATACAACGAGTGACCACCAACCCATACAGACCAGGTTTGATTACTCTTCAGAATATCTAGAACAGACACAGATTTTTTTTTTAAATCATACAGTTTAGGAAATCTTTGTAACTTAATCTGAGTCACTCTATATGGCTTACCCTCCACGATGAAGTTTTGTTCTTTTTCGTTGGTTACAGATACTAGAAAACCGCTGTGTTTTGTACAGATTTGCCTTGCTTGCTTCCAAGTCTGGGTTTCTAGGAAGAACTTGTAACAGAGGCCATTGTCCTGGTTGGCCTGCCAAGTTTTCTCGCAATAAAATTTCGCAGTCACAACTAGAGAAGAGATTGAATACAAAATTTACGCCATTTTTTTTTTTTTTTTTTTTTTTTGGCATGAAATTTGATGAAATTTGTGAAAATTACATAATTAACTCATATAAGTATATATTAATATTTTAGTTTATATTTGGATACATGAAGCTTTTAGAAAAAAATGTTTATGCCTTTGTATGTATGTTAAATGTTTGCAGTGATCACGTATTTTTGTCATATCAAAGGAATATATGTGAGGTTTGAGAATTCAGTTTTATTGTCAGTAATGATTGTATGTATGGTGATTGTAAATATTATATTGTTTCATTCATTTTAATTTATTTTTAAAAGCTATGAATGTTTATTTGGTTTAGCATAAGGACAAAAAGTTTCCCGAAACATCGTGTTCGCTACATTGGTGGAATGCCTTCATTCAGTATCTGATCATACACACATTTTTCGTTAAAGAGGATTTTGGTTTGTGTCTTGAGTTCGGTCATACTCGATTGTTATATATCATGAAATGAAATTTGAACAAGCGTGACAAAATGCTATTGTGTTGGGATATGTGTTGAATAACTAACAAAAACCAATTCAATTCAGGTCAAAGAGATAATGTCTCTATCTTTTTAAAACTTGTTTTTGTGTACAGGGGAAATGTTGATGTTTAAAAAAATTGTTCAGTGAAGGAGATAGTCAAGGTTTTAACTACTTTTTGTGTTAATTATAGGTATGTTCTAGATTTATATGCAATACTGGTATGTGTTAATACCTTCATATAAAAAAAAATGTTCAAAGATGCAAAAAATTTTGAAGCATAACTACAAATAGACTATGTACAGTATCGGATGGTACCGGTCTTATAATCTATACATTATGTAAATAAACATTCTATGTTTCTGAAGTTTTCTTTTTTATATTTTGGTTGCGATGTTGGGTGTGTATAAGTTTGCATCGTGCTATAAATTACCTGTATATTTATAAGAATTTTGAACAGAAATGAAAGTTACAAATTTCTATAGAGAAATAATCTTATACATCTTGTGAAATGTGAATGATACAATTATCTGCATATTCTAAGAACTGAATACTAGGTACTTACCTTGGAAAAGAAGAGTAAATCCTAATGCTACATATATGACCATCCTCTTAATTCTCTGGTTAATTTCACATACCGTCAAAACACAAATTTAAAAATGTTTAAATATCGGAGTGTCTACCTTTTATGCTGGCAGCCTAGGAAAAAACTGCACAATGCACTGTGTCAATCAAGCGTGAATTGTGACTTAGTTCTGTATCAAATTTTGTGCTGCAAGACATCTGACTCTGACCGATTTCAGAAACACCTCAGCACCGATGAGACTTTTGTTCCATAATGGAGGATAGTCATGTATAATGGTGAGAAATCCAAACCTTTAAGCCGTGACTTCCAGATATTAAGTTTCTTCTCGTCGATTTACTATTGTGCATGTCTAAAAAATGTGTCCTAAGAATTTGCAATCTGCCCCCGCACATTGAAGATAAATACTGGAGACCCAAACCTGTAGATATGTGTGCTAAATCTCTTTGGTTGCCTAGTAGTCTTTAATATCTAGGTATCTGCATGTCCTTATTTACTCTTCGAGAGGCAAACAAATATATCAAAAGGACTATGCTCTTGGAAGGTTCATCGGTAAATATTAGGTACTACAAAGTAACGTTGTCATAATTTATTGCCTTTTATTCTATTATCTGTAACGTTTTGCAGTGTCCTTTTATCTGGCTAATCCACAATGTATTTTGTGTACCTAAAACGCATTCTCGAAATTTAAATATTTTATGTCATTCATTACATATTATATATATACTAAATTCCTGTGCTGGGCTGAATCCCGCCTTGCAGGTAGTAGGTATTATTTATCTTTTTATTTTATTACTGTACATCTAACATTTTAGAAGTTATTCATTAAGAACGCTTTTACAAAGAACGTGACCTTATGATTGATTTTGGTCCAAAAAATTGGTAAAATTTAATAGTTTATTTTTATTTATTAAAGCACATGCTCCCTTAAATCAGGTAGCATGAGGAAAAAAGTGTTATGGTATTAAAGTAGGTTGTCTATCACAAAATTGACAATTACAGATAAAATAGCTTTATTGATTTTACATTAATTCCTTATCAATTCTATTAAAAATTAAGGTCTCTTGTTAATAATAAATCAAGATTTTTCAATCAAACCTGCAGCATCTTTTTTTCTGTTTGTAAAGTTTAAATCATCACATCTGCATTTTCCTTATTTTCCATTCCCAAAACTATCATCCACTAGATTGTCTGTACCATTAATGCATTTCTTCAACTTAATACACGCTTTGAGTAAGGAAAATTTCCTCTCTACTCTCAAACTGATCCAACCACTTCAAATGCCTACCACAGTGTAGCTTTATTCCCAAGATACTGAGTAGTTTTCATTCAAGCTTGTATTCTTGAAAGGCCCGTAAATACTTAACTTATGTTGGACTGTCTCAGATAAAATCAACAAATGAAATTTTAAATGGCAAGGTTATCAGTTCCATATATGCCTCTAATGTTTTGTTAGGAAAAAATGCCTCCAAATTTTCTCAAAACAACTCATAAACTTTTTTTCATAAAGGACTATATTCAGCAAATATCCAATACATCAAACTGTTTCAATCCCGTTAAGACAGAAAAATGTCTGAATTTTTTTTCAAACAGAATTGTAAATGAAACATACGTGATTTGCCTAAAACAATCCTATTTTAAAAGACAAATGTGCTTATAGCCATTGCAACATTCTTTCAAGAATAAAGACTTAAATGAAAACTTCTTAGAAGGTTAGGAATAGGCCATGTTGCACTTACGGTTTTGAGACAGTTGAATCAGTTTAAAAACTGGAGCTGGAGTGGGACGAATTTCCTTTCTTCAAGCATGTATGCAGCTGAAAGCAAGGCATCTGACCATAATGCAATCTATTGAATGATATTTTTGGGAATGGAAAAGGAAAATGCAGATATGCATTTAACAAACACAGAAAATAAAGATAATGCTGCATGAATATATATACATGTTTATTTCTTATAACAGTAATTTTAAAAGAATTATAACTTTATTAAAGATTTCATAAAAGATTGTATTTGAAAGGATAACTTTTGTAAATTCCGAATTATCGGAAGCTTATTTTTTCATTTTCCAATTCTATATGATATATGATACTCTGTTCAAAATAAGCATTGTGCATACAAAATTCAACTTTGGTCTTCGTTAGATAATCTTGTTTTTATTTTTTAATTTGTTCAAATAAAAATTCCAAAGTTTAAGGATATCGGTATCGCGACAAACTGATACTACATTTAAAACCAGACTGATGACTGATTCTAAGATCAGACCGTTGCTTACTAATATCAGACAGCTTAAGCTCTTTTTTTACCGCAAGAACAAAACAAAAAAATGACGTCACGACAATATTTTAACAAGTTTTAAACAAAAATTCATATCTTGCATATTTTTTTTCTGGTGATAATTCTAGTTCTCTGCGGATTTGCCATGATGTTTTATCTTTAGTCAATATGACTTAAGAAAGATGACTGTTGATTTTGAAGTCAAAATGTCCAAGACCAAGGTGATTTTTTTTTATATTGCATATATAGTTTCAGGTGATACATGTAACTTTATTTCTCTATATACTTTTGCAATGAAACTTAAGGTCATTAAAAAAGACCTCTATTGACTTTAAGGCCAAACGCTATAAGGTCAGTGTTGACCTTTTTTACTTTCATCATCTGCATATTTTTTCAGTTCTTCCAAGCTTTTTTTTCCCGTAAGCGGAGGACATAAATCTTTACCATAGTCTTTGAATTGCACATGGTGCTTGTTTTACTGATGAATTATTTCAGGAATGAATTTATTACCTATCCAAAGTATACAATATAACCTGGGTTTGGGCAGTTTACGCTTTATAAAGCGCGAGGCGGTTTATTAAAAAGCATAAACTGTTCCAGTCCGATTCCCGCTTACCGTGCTTCGTCAAACCTAAGACGTAAACATAGGTAGTTACTGTTCCTTCGCCAAGAGCCCGGTATTAGAAGTGAAAGTCACGGGTCTCTCGGATGAGACTTTAAAAACCGAGATCACGGTAGGCGTTGGCACTATAAAGAACCCTCACTGCTCAATGGACCCGAGTGTCGATTATAGGTATGATTTTTAAGCCCTTCACCGCTATAGGGTGACGTTTCTGTTGAGTGAAAAATCCTCGAATGGGAAGTAAAACAAAATACAGTCAATCGATCACATTAAAAAAGTCAGCTAAAATATTGATTCACGGAACAGTGGCTCATTACAATAAAATAAATAAAGAAAACGAACAGAGAGCATTCTCCTAAATCATATAAGCAGTATCTGACAACACCAGAGGAGGGATCAGGTACCTAGGAGAAGAGAACATCCTCTATTGACCGGTCATATCCGCCGTGATCGGTCCTTCTGTATTAAGTTAACTGACTAATCCGTAGTCAAAAAATAGTATGAAAACAAAGGCCTTACAATTGGTATGAAATGTGTCAGTCAAAAAAGTGATTCAAAGATGGTCTTCTTTTGCAATCAAGGTCATTGAAACGAGTATAGATTTTGCCAATTGATTACTTTAAGTGATATGTAAACGCTCCTATAACATCATCCTCTTTGTCAGTAGCCTGTCTCTGTTTAAAAACTTTTGCATATCGTTCAGTTTAGAAACATACGCATATCTATATGCAGTCGATAGTGGAATATTGCTTAATAAATATTGTATAGTTGTTATTTTTACCATTAGCGTCTATATTCTGTAAACCATTCAAATATTGAACAGATGTGTCATGCTCTGTGTTGTCTTTTATTTCGAGTTTACCCTGATGTAATGAGTCGACATGCTGGTTCATCTATTTAATTCAAGACCCCAGCAAGAGTTTTCATCTCATGTAGAAGTTTTGAAGAAATTCTGCTTCATAAGAATATAAAAGCAAGTCGGCTGATAAAAGGAACATAATTTCTGCCGAAGGATGTTCTACCAAATCATTGGAAGACCTAAACTCTAAGGACTACATAGATATTGTCAGTGAACTCCAGCATATTCTTTATATCAACTTCAGAGTACTTGTGATTAGAATCAGAAATATGAACGCACCTTGTAGGTAACTATTAAATCCCAAGATATGAATATTTCCGAGTTCCCTTTTAATTGAAGAGGCAGTGATGTATATCATGTTGAAAACCCTGGACTTTAAAACATCGTGAGGAATGTACTGAAAAGGCACAGGTTTTGATGTTGCTTTTGGGAAAAATATGATTTCAATTTTTCTACAGGTCACGGTTGACTAGTGGTAGGCTTTCCCTTAGTGACCGCGAGGCCCGGGAGTCATTCCAATTTTCGACCAAAGCCGCCGGATAGCGTTTCGGTTTAAAAAAAAGAGTGCAAGACTTGCTCTGGTCAAAAGACATGAAGCGATATTAAACAAATGAAATATGAGGATTTTTATCAACAAATAAAAGCAAGAAGCCCGTGGCCACAATGTTTACTTGAGTCACCTTGGTTTGCTGTTCTTCAGAAAATATAGTCATAAAAGATTTTTTCCTCTCTTTATTCCCTTGAAAAGTGTTGCCATTTTGTGATCCAATCTAGCCTCAAGGGTCCGATCATTACTTAACCGAACTTGAATCCACGCTTCATGGCCAGGGGTGCTTCAAAATCAATATGACTAACATGATTTTGCTTTTTATGGAGAAGTAAAATGTTTTTAATCCTCCTGTATATATGCATAAATGTGTAAAATGCAATCCCCCATTTTAGCCCAACTCTAAACCCGGTCCTTAATTTAGAGAGAGAGAAAACTTAGTCTGTTTTGTTACTTTTGTTACTCTTGAAAATATAATTCTTCAATTTGTTGTATTCTCTCATGTAAAACATTTAAATCCCTATTCTAGCCCCACTTTTTCCCAGTTGCCATGAATTAACAAATAGGAATGCTTGCATATTAATAAAACTGGCCCAATGCTTCTTGAGAAGATTTTTTAAAAGAATTTTCCCTATATATTCCCATGTAAAAATTTTTATTCCATATAGTGGTCCATCCAAAACCAACCCCCATCCCTTCCCCGATGGACATGATTCTGTTA